GAGGGTAGGAGCTGGTGCACGGCTCAGCTGGGCTGTGGGAAGAGCCAGGAAGCCTGGTGGAGATGGGAGATGGTGGGGGGCTGAAATGACCTCCCCTGGTTCATAAAAATCCCTCATCCAAGACCAGTCAGGTCCTGAGGGTGCTGGACCAGGGAGGTCCAACCTGTAGATTTTGTGTGCTCCACCCCCACAGGGGAACGTTGTGTGTGTGTGTGTGGGGGCGCGCAGGGGAAATGAGGGCTGACACAGGCTCCCAAATGCTGGTGGGGAGAGCCCTGAGCCTTGGGGGTCAGATCCAGGCAAGCCAGGGGTCACATCCAGCCCCTGGGCCTTAGGTTCCCCACTCCTGATATACAGGGTTTACAGTGTGGCTCTCAGCACCCCCACTACCCAAATGGTTCCAGTGCCCCGGTGACTCCTGCATTTCATGCTAACAAGGCCCACATTACTGCCAGGTGCTGCCATCCGCATTTCTCAGGAGGCTTGGAGCAGAGGGCTCAACAGCCCAAGCTAGGGTTGCCAGATGGTTTAACAAAAAATACCAAACACCACCCTCCTTCCCTCCCCCCCAAAAATGGGAAAAAATCTGTTGAAGGTGGGATGGAGGGGGGGGACCAAAGTTGTTGAGCAAAAAAAAAAAAAAGGACCCCAAGGGTTGTTATGGGGGGAGGGGGGGAAGCGTGGCCCCTTTAAGAAACACTTTGCTTTTGAGGCTCTTTGGTCCTAACAGGCTGCTGGCAGCTGCCTGCCATGTTGTTTCCCTGCACCGGGCGGGACAGCTCCCCTGCGGAGCCAGATAAGCACCTGGGATGTTTCCCTCCTGGCTGGGAAAAAAATCAGAAACTACCGGACATTTTAGGTGTCTGGTATTTTCTGAATTTTTTTACCAGACAGGAGGCGAAAATACCGGACTGTCCAGTTCAATACCAGACACCCGGCGACCCTCGCCCAAGCAGCCAGGCCCGGCCCCACCAGGGGCCCTGCAGTCGGTACAATTTAGCATGAGCTGCTGATGTGCATGAGGGTCAGTGGCTCAGTCTCTCCTCCTTGGACAGCCGGGCCCGGGGCTGTAGGAGGAGCTGTCAGTCCCTTTTCTCAGGGCTCTCGCCCTCTCTCCTGCAGGCCATGACATTAATGGTGCCCTGGAACCTTCCAACATCGACACCAGCATTCTGGAAGAGTACATCAGCAAGGAAGACTCGCCAGAAATGTAAGTCCTGTGTTTGTAGGCAGCCCCGTGGTGGGGGCTGCCGCTGGGGAGCAGAGCTAGTGGCTTTTTTCCTGGGGGGAAGCTGAATTCTCCTTTCCAGGGGTGCAATGGCTTGTTTGGAAATAGCTTCCCTGCTCACTGCTGCCTCTTCTCGCTGTCTTTCTCAGCGCCCCTACCAGTTCCTTTGTGCTACCGTCGTCAGTTTTGGCCCCTTCTTCTGTTCCCCAAGCTCCCTTCTTTTTGTTCCTGCTTCCCCCTTTCTACTTTCCTTCCTCCTGACGAGGATCAGGGAAGAATCATTTAACTCCGGGACAGGCAATATGACAGCAACAGTTCACCAGGCTTAGCCCTGGCAGGCTACTACTGCTGTATTTACTTACGCCTCTGCAGGTATGGGCGCTTGTAGCCCCTGTTGCCGCGGATAACTATTCTCAGCCAATGGGAGCTGCAGGAAGAGGTCTGGACTGGGATACCACTTCCCGCAGCTCCCATTGGCCAGGAATGGCGATCCGTGGCCAATGGGAGCTGCAATTGCCCATCCAATGGAGGTCCAGGTAAATATAGTGACAGTGGCCCACCAGGGGTTCATAAGAATGGCCATACTGGGTCAGACCAAAGGGCCATCTAGCCCAATAAACTGTCTGCAACCAGTGGCCAATACCAGATGCTCCACAGGGAGGGAATGGAACAGGGAATCCTCATGTGATCCCTCTCCTGTTACCCATTTCCAGAGAGAAGCTAGGGACACCATTCCTACCCATCCTGGGGAATAGCCATTGATGGACCTGACCTCCATGAATCTATCTAGCTCTTTTTTGAACCCTGTTAAAGTCCTAGTCTTCACCGCATCCTCTGGCAAGGAGTTCCACAGGTTGACTCTGAGCTGAGTGAAGAAAAACTTCCTTTTGTTTGTTTTAAACCTGCTGCCTATTAATTTCATTTGGTGACCCCTAGTTCTTATATTGTGGGAACAAGTAAATAACTTTTCCTTATTCACTTTTTCCACACCCATCATGATTTTATAGACCTCTATCATATTCCCCTTCTCCCCCCTTAATCCTGGTGAATTATGGCCAGTTCATGGCCAGTTATTGCCCACTGCTGCTTTAACTCCTTGGAGCACCCTCTGCTGCCTTTGGATAGGACTGGAAACGGCTGGCACAAGGGAGCACAAACGAATGCTCCCTGTGCTGACAGAACAGCTACTGGGGCATCATTCTGGGAACAAAATGCAATGAGTTCCCCTGCAAGGAGGGTGTTGGAAAGTGACGTGTTTCCCTAATAGCTGCAGGGTGCGCTCCCTGCCCAAGCTGGGGGACACTGACTACGCAGTGCGGCGGGAGGGCCCCCCCCCCCCAGCAGGGAGGCGATAGACCCCGTTGGTGCTGGCCGTGGAGCACCGGCACGCTGAGAGATTCCCAGCTGGTGTGTGTGACGCTGAGCCGAGTGCAGCCTGCAGCGGGGTGCTCTCGGCACATCTGGTGAAGCAAACAGAGTTGGGTTTGGCCCGGCTTGGCTTGGGAACCCTCTGGGGAAGACCAGTGGGGCCTGAATCAATGCCACAGCCTGGGGCTTGAGGGGAGGAGAGCCTGAGCCCAAGGGTGCAGTTTTGCTGGTGTCGTCGGGCTGAGGTGCCTCCTTCCCGGGGGCGGGTGTGCGACTGGGGGCTGCCTCCCTCCTTCCCCCTGCTAGCAGGAGCTGGATCCTAGTCTTCCTGCTCCTTGCCTGAGCCCAAGGGTGCAGTTTTGCTGGTGTCGTCGGGCTGAGGTGCCTCCTTCCCGGGGGCGGGTGTGCGACTGGGGGCAGGCGGGCTGCGGGGCAGCCGAAAGGCGCAGTTACCCTTCTGAGGTTCTCGACTTCTCTCCCACAGCTGCTTCCCCGACATCCCTCCCTCATCCAGCTACGCGCACACCCAGCCTTCCGGCTCTGCCGCCGTCGGCGCCCCCGTTGCCAGCTCCATCTCCAACGCCGCTCATGTGACCAACCCCGCTTCCGGTGGTGCCCTCCATCTCTGTGCCCCAGGCAGCCAAGGCCCCGGCCGTCATGGTCCTCTCTTGGCCAACCCCTGCGGACCCAGCTACAGCGCTCACCTCAACTGCAATAACAACAATGGCATGGTGGTGCCCAAGGGGTACCTCGGCGGCCACTGCCTGAGTAACGTGGTCCCTCCAATCAAATCGGAGCCCAAGGCCTCCTATGCACCTGGGTAGGTGCAGCTGAGGCAGGGAGGAGGGGTGGAGAAGGCTGCTGTGTTTGTCCCACAAGCGTTAAGGTGGCTAAACATTGATTCGAGGGGTGCTGGTGTTTGAGAGCGTTGGCTGTGGCCTTCATGATCTGCATGGGGCAAGGTGAAATAGCTGTAGGAGCGCAAATGGCATTAAAACAAAGACCAAAGAGGTTCATGGCATGCAGAGCAGGAGCAGTGCATGATGGGAGAATCTTTTAGCATCTCAGGCAGGAACAGAGACACATTTGAAATCCATTTCGGCCTGAGAAAATCTTCATTCCAGGGGCTGTTGGGCTCTCCTGGGTGAAAGGTGGCAGCTGACTTGGAAAGAGAGACATGGAGTCTGGTGTCCTAACTACTTGGGGCTGGTATTTGGTAGCTCACCCTCTGTGTAGGAAGGGCATAGACCCTGAACTGGATCTGCACTTGTACTGGATTCTAGGCTCGCCTCCTGCATGGAGGAGGAGAACTGGAATTTCTGCATCTCTGAGGCTGGACCATGTGCACCCAGGAAGATGCTGCAATTCCTGGTCCGGCTTGAGGGCTGGCTGATTCAAACGGACTGGGAGACACTTGCAGTTCTCCGGTGTGACTGAAGCTGAGGTTATTAGGGATTCAAAGGCATCACCCTCCAGCTGCTATTCAATGGGCTGGATGGGAATGAACCCATGATTTTCTATAGCCCGCCTTGTTCATGGGGATCTTCCCAAGTCCCGCCAGTGGGCCCAACCCAACGGCTGCAGTGCAGGTCCTGGGTGGGAATGGGGCTGAGGCTGTCTTGGTGGTTGGGATTGCCCAGAGAGTGAGGGGTGGGTAGAGGCAGCTCTCGCCGTGGGAGAATGTGTTAAATCCCAGAGGCGGGATTTAATTCCTGGCAGCTGTAATCACTGTCCCTTTGGGAGGAGCCACCCCTGCTTCAAGGGAGAGACCCTTTCCTCACCACTTGCAGAGGGAGATGTCAGATGTCGATGGAAATCGACAGAGCCACGCTCCCTCCCTCAGTAAGGCCACCTGGCAGCCTGGTATCAACCACTTGCTGCACAGGTACCTGACCCATCCTGGAGAGCTCCCCCACCTACCACCACTGGCCCGAGTGGTCTGGCTGGATTCCTTTGGCAGCCATCTCTGCCAAGTGCGCAGGCCAAGGCCTAGCCGGTGTCTCAGGTTTGCGCACACCTGTGACGCTCTCGTGTTCTCCTCCACCTCATGCTGTCTAGTGACACCAACATGGAGTTGAGAAGGCTCAGGGCCAAATTAAAACCTGGTGTAATTCCTCTGTGGCCAGTGGCTTGGCTTTGGCCTGCTGGAGGAACTTGGAAAGATCCTCTTGACGAAGGTGGGGGTAAAGAAAATCATGGATGGCGTTTATTCCCCTTCGGGTCCCAGTGTGGGGATTGGCACTGAGGCTTCCCTTGCTGCATACACACGAGCCTGACAAAGGCCCTCAGTCATGTTTGGGGCTTACCTTGCAGACGGCTTCAGTCCAGCGTGGACCCCTTCTGTCTTTGCCCTCTGTGGAGAGGGTCAACGAGGCTGATAGAGCCAATGGTGGCTTTGACTTGTACCCCTTTGAGTCCCCCAGTCCCCCAGTGGAGCCAGTGTCGTAGAGGTGAACAGCTCCCTACCCTAGCTGGTCCCTTTGCTTTGAGGGGATTGCGGTGACAAAAGGCCCAAGTCGCTGAATTGGGTCCTGAGGTGCCTTGGCGACCAAAGGGCGGGCGAGCTGGGTGGTTGCCCGGGGCCGCCAACAGAGCCAGTCTCAGGGGTGGGCCGCGACCGCATTTCCCGGGGCCGCCAACAGAGCCGGTCTCAGGGGTGGGCCGCGACCGCATTTCAGCCCGACCTCCTGCATCCGTTACCTCCCTGCAATAGTCTTTCCCTTGCACACTGCCCCAAAGGTGTGTTCGGCTTGGTCTGCACTTAACATTTAAGTTCGGGCAGCCGCATTCGTCACGAGTGCGGAAAATCCAGACCTGGGAGCACTGTCGCTATGCCGACCGAACCCTCGGGCTAGATGCAGCAAGGTGGAGGGAAGAACGCTCCTGCTGAGGTTCTGACTGTTGTTCCTGGAGACGATGTTCCTACAGTGACGGAAAAATCCCTTCCCTCGCTATGCTACAGGGTTATGCTGGTGTCAATCCCTGTTGCGTCAACGCACTCTGAGCCCGCTTACATCTGCCCCCAAGCCTGCATTTCGGCACCCAGGCCTGTAAGATCAGCTGGGTCTCTGGTGCTAGATTTGTTTATCCAGGACGTTCTCTGGAACTTCTGACGGAGACCAAGTCTTTTGACCTCAAGGGCGCGCTCCTCGGCCGGTCTGTTTTCCCAGGCTGTCTCCGAAGGTGGCTGGGGAGGAGAGGTTTAGCTTTTCATGAAGGTCTGGGAATGCTGAAAAGCTCCAGGTGGATTTGTCTGTGTGTGGTGTTTAAAGGAGTGAAGTGACCCAGTGCATGGGGCCTGTGTTTAGCCTCATGGGGTACGGCAAAATAATTAGACAGTGACTCCCCAGATCACTCCCCAACTGCCCCCTCTGCCCACAGGAAGTTCCTTGTTGACCCTTTTATTCCTGCACATGGTGGGCTGCTTCAGGCCAATGGAGTTTCTTGTTCCTATTGGGTTCCCTTTCGCCGAGTTAGGGCCAGATCCTGCCCTCCATGCTGCCGGTGTCAATCCAGAGGAACTGGCTCTCCTGTTTATTCAGGGGTGAAATCAATGAGCCTTTTCTGGGGCCTGGACACTTCCTTTAACTGGACCCGGGCTGGAAAGAGAAGCTCTGATTAGCAGGTGAGGGGACTGGCTGTGGAATGAAATGCCTGTCCCGTCAAGGGAGGCTGGATGGGCTACTCCTGTCCCAGGCTGTGGCTATGTAGGTAATGGTGGGTGGAGGATTTGGCTGGGAGCTGCGGCTGTAGGGAACCAGTGCAGAACTGTCTGTGCGGCAACTCATGGCTATTTCAGTCCCAACCTCTATTAATAGTAGGGAGGGCTGTAAAGATGGGGCAGGAGAGAGGGTATGGGTATGGGTGTCAGCCTCTGCCAGCAGGAGTCACTGTGGGCCGCGGGGTTAGCCATGGTGGTGTTTGAATGGGCTTTACCCTGGCGTCTGGAAGTCCCAGGGAGCAAAGTGAACGGCTCCGTTTTGCTGGAAGCTGCTCTGGCGTGACCTTCTCTTCTCTTTCTCCATTGCTCTCCAGCACTTTACCCGACTCTCCCCCGGACTCTGGATCAGAAGCTTACTCCCCCCAGCAGGTGAATGGTAAGTGCTTAAAAAAAAAAAAGCCCAAACTTCCCAGCCTCCCCCCTCTTTGTTTTATGAAAGTGGTTGGCTCTGAAATCTTTATCAGACGGGGAAAACAGACGGCTGCAATACGTGGAGAGATTATCAGTTAGTAAATATCCCTAGACTTTCACCTATTGTTCTCCGGCTGGTCTTTGAAAGGGAGGGAGTGCAAGAGAACAGGAGAGGGGGTGGAGGTGCGGATCCGCGCACATGCAGCGAGGAAGAGAGAGACTCGGACCCAGGCAGGGTGTGAAATGGAGTCTGCCAGCCCCCGTGTGCTAGCATCCACGGCAGGGGTGTGAAACCAAGAGCCAGGGCGCAAGCGCACCTCCTGGAAATGAAACCCAACTTGCGGAGACACTAATGAACTCTCCGTTTTGCGGTAAGTGCTTGCTGATCCTTCTCCTGCCCTCTGTGGCGTTCTGCCAGTCCGACGGGGGCACCTCTCTGCCTCCCTTCTGCATCCGTGTGAGGGAAACTTGGGGCCCCTCCCAAAGATTATTGTTTCCCCCTAGACGGCGGCGTCAGCGCCATTCTGCCCCATTTGGCTTGGTATGTGAGTGTGGGGGGGAAGGGGAAGTGGGTGGATATCGTTGGGTCCTCAATGGTGACGTTCTCCGTGTCTTGATGGCAGCACTCGGAGTGTCTGGGTGGAAGATGGTTGGAGAGGGAGGGGTCATGCCAGCTTCCCCACCTCCCCCTCAGTGGCACCCATTTTTCCCAGACTGCAGCCTAGTCCAGGCTGGGAACGGCTCCTTCTCTTTTCTCTATGGAAGAGGTCAAGAGTTCTGTTTATCTTACTAAAAAAATCCCTGGAATTCCTCCTGGCCCTTCCTTAAATATAACAAAGAGGCCGGGCTACTTGCTGCAGGGACGGCAGATTTCTCTCCTTGCTGGAGCAGCAGCACCTTCGCCTCATGCGAGCAGAAGAGGCAGCTACTGAGAGCTCCTCTCGATCGGCTCTTTTTTCTTTTTCCTTAGGGGGGGGAAATCTCACTTGTTTTACCCTGGATTTGGCATGGACTGGGCCTTCAGCAAGACTCCTGAGCCTGGATTTGGGGTGTGTCTTAGTAACTGACTTGACCTCGTCCTCTGCTGTGGGGTGAAGCGTTTGAAAACTAGAGAGCACTGTTCCCTTGAGACGCAGAGGATAAGAACAGAAGGGCTGCCACCTGGGATCAGGCTATGGCCCATCTTGTTTTAGACAGTGGCCCATACTAGAGCTTCATGGGGAATGTACATTACAGGGCAGTGGTTCAGCCTGGTCTTTCGCTCCTAGCTTCTGTTAGAAGTTTAGGATTGCTTTGAGTGTGAAGTTGTCTCCCTCACCATTTTGGCTAATAGTCTCGGGTGGTCTTATCCACTGTGAATGTTTCTAGTGCTTTTTGGAGCCCGTTACAGTCCTCACAACGTCCCTGGGCCACAGTTCTGCTGGTCAGTTGCGGGTCATGTGGGAAAAGTACTTCCTCTTGTTGATGTCAGACCTGCTGCCTGTTAATTTCATTGGGTGACCCCCAGTTTTTGTTTTGTGGTACAAAAGAGTAGTGTTCATTTTTTTTCCATACCATTCATGGGTTTACAGACCTCGCTTGTGTCCCCCTTCAGTCATCTCTTTCCTAAGCTGGACTGCCCTCGTTCCTCTTAGTTTCTCTTCATGTGAAAGCTATTCCATATCCTTGACCATCTTTGTGGATCTTTTTTGAACCTTTTCTGAACTAGAACTGGACAAAGTATTTAAAGTATAGCTACACCGTGGATTTATATTGTGGCTTTATGATATTGTCTTTTTTTTATTTTCTATCCCTTTCCTAATAGTTCCTAGCGTATTGTGAGGGTTTGCTGACTACTGTTGTGCAAACAGCAGAAATGTTGAGAGAAATGTTCACAGTGACGCCAAGATCTTTTTCTGGGGTGGTAACAACTAATTTAGAACTCACCTTTTTATATGTATAGTTGGATTATGTTTTTCCAGTGTGCATTACTTTGCACTCATCAGCATTGAATTTCATCTGCCGTTTTATTGCTCAGTCACCTAGTTGTGTGAGATCCTTTTGAGGCAGCTTTGGATTTAATTTTGTGTGGTCCACGTACTTTGCCACTTCACCGTTCACACCCGTTTCCGGTCATTAATGAATATGTTGAACAGCACAGTTCTCCTACAGATCCTTGGGAGACCTTACTATATATTCTCCTGGCTTCATTGTGAAATCTGACTGTTCCTATCCTTTGTTTCCAATCTTTCAACCAATTCTGGTCCATGAGAGGATCTTCCCTCTTTTCTCCTAGCTGCTTAATTTGCTTAAGACCCTTTGGGAGGAAGCTTGTCAAAAGTTTACAAAAAATCTGGGTTCATTATAGCCACTGGATCACCCTTGTCCACGTGTTTGCTGACGCCTTCAAAGAATTCTCATAGATAGGTTCCCTTTACAACATTTGTTTAGACTTTTCCCCCAACATGTTGTATTCACTTGTGTGTTTGATAATTCTGTCTCTTTACTGTCATTTTGACCAAATTTACCCAGTACTGAAGGAAGGATCACCAGTCTGTAATTGCCTAGATCCCCTCTGGAGCCTTTTGTAAAAATGGACATGACATTAGCTAACTTTGAGGCATCTAGTATAGAGGCTGATTTCAGTGTAATTCTAGGTTACATACTGCAGAGCTGCGATTTCGTATTTGAGACCCTTCAGAATTCCAGGGTGAATACCATCTGGCCTTGGTGACTTCTTATTAATGACACCATCTACATGATTGTGTTAGTCTTTAAGGTGCTACTAGACTATTTGTTGTTTTTTAAGTTTTTCCTTTTACAGACTAACTTGGCTACCCCTCTGAAGCTTTTGACTTATTACTATTGAATTTATCAATCTGTTCAAAAATCTCTTCTACTGAAACATCAATTTGGGACAGTACTTCAGATTTGTTTCCCAAAAAGAATAGCTGTGATGTGGATAGCCCCCAACATCCTCTCTAGTGAAGCCCGATGCAAAGAATTTTCTGCAATATCTTCCTGGAATGCTTTTTAACACCTTTGTTGTGCTTTGTGCAACTAGTGTACATAAAAAAAATGTTACTGTTCATTTTTGCATCTTGAGCAAATTGCTTCTCAAGTCCTTTCTTGGCCTGCTGTATTATACTTCTACATTTTACTTGCCAGTATTTGTGCTCCTTCCTATTTTTCTCATTAGGATTTGACTTACAAATTTTAAGATCCCTTTTTGCCTCTAATTGTCTCCATTACTCTTCTGTTTAGCCATGGCAGGATTCTTTTGGTCCTGCTACTGTCCTTTTTTTTTTTTTGCTTTATTTGGGAATAAACTTCTAATCTGAGCCTCTATCATGGCATGTTTAAGTAGTCTACATGCTGCTAGCAGGCATTCGACCCTTATGACCGCTCTTTTTAATGTCCATCTAACTAGCTTAATCAGTCTTGTGCAGTTCCCTCTTTTAAAGTTAAATATTACTGTGTTCTCCCCCCATAAGGATGTTAAATTTAAATAACTATGGTACTGTTACCAAAAAGTACTGCTATATTCATCTTTTGCACCAGATCTTGTGCTCCACTTAGGATTTAGGCCAAGTCTACACTAACACTGAGATCAATGCTCTGGAGATCGATCTTGTGGGGTTTGATTTAGCGGGTCTAGTAAGGGCCTGCTAAATCAACCGCTGATGGTGGCCTCATCGACCCCAATATTCTACGAGGTTGCAAGGAATGAGGGAAGTTAATGGGAGAGTTTTTCCTATTGACCTTCAGCATTAGGGATGCCTCAGAAATTTGACATGAGGTGCATCGACTCCAGCTGCATTATTCTCATAGCGGGAGTTGCTCATCTTAGGTTGACTTTCTTTTATAGCGTAGACTTGGCCTAAGTCAAAAATGCTTTTTGGTTCCAGGACTAGCAGCAACCACAATGGAGCCTAGAGGTTCTTCTCTCCTGGGGTATGGCTGGAATAGCACATACACCGTAACTGGCTCCATATTCCTCCTATAGTGCTTTGTCAGTGGTACGATTGCTCCCGGAGTTGCTCATCTTAGGTTGACTTTCTTTTATAGCGTAGACTTGGCCTAAGTCAAAAATGCTTTTTGGTTCCAGGACTAGCAGCAACCACAATGGAGCCTAGAGGTTCTTCTCTCCTGGGGTATGGCTGGAATAGCACATACACCGTAACTGGCTCCATATTCCTCCTATAGTGCTTTGTCAGTGGTACGATTGCTCCCTC